CCAGCACCAGAGGTCACTGATGTTGTAATTACCACTGAAGCCCAAGGAAGGGAAATGCTTACTCTGTTAAAACAGAAGTGTATGAAAAGCCATGTGTTCTACAACATCTAATACAGACTCAACATTTCTTAATGTTGTAAGAACTCACTGTGTGATTCTGAAGCACGAATTTCACAGCATCTGTTTTCACAGGTCTTTTTAGGAAACTATCAGCAGCAGCTGTTAAGGAAATACCAGCCTTGCCACATCGCTGCTACGTAATCAGGTTGTACAAACCTGCAGGATTTTTTAGCGAGAAAAAAGTCCCAACTGAAACAACAACAAATTGAAATGAAGGAGATCTTGAATTTCAACTGAAAATACATCATGGAGATGTTCTTCAGAACATTAAAGACCATAATCTATTATTAATTAAAGCAATTACTTTTCGTGGCATATATTCTAGTCACAGAAGAGACGAATGAAATGACTCTTATATAATTAAACAGAGATTCTGATAAGAAACGTTAATTTTTTCCCTCAGCCCCAAGTTATCAGCACAATAGAAGCAGCTTTGCAACTGGTTGTGTTGAAGAAGGGCACTGGGCAATGGACTGGCAGCAGCCCTAAGCAGCACTGACCTCACAGCTGCTGAACCACAGAGGCAGTCTTACGGGCCTGTCTCATTTGCTTCAGTTACCACAGATAAATGTGTATCTCATACATACTAAGCTATGTTAAACACTAAAAGTATTTTCAAATGTATTAGAACTGAATATAAATTTCTTAGGAGAGTCTCGTGTGTCGTGTCGGTGAGACAGCAGGGCAGCACTGTGGCAGGATGGCTGCACGGTGCTGGTCTCTCCATGGCACTCGTAAAGCTCTCCAGCTCTGGACAAAAGCAGCCCCATCTTGGGCTCGGCACATCTGCATTTGCTTGTATGAAAAATGGCTCCAAGGGGGATGCACTAGGTAACGCAAAAGATAGCCTATTTCGTATGAACACAGAAGCTGAACTTGCAAAGCTTAAGTTGCAGAAGCTCTTACAGGTAAGGGGGTCAAGACTTGTTCCACAGCTTGAATCCTTTGCCAGCAGCATGGATACAAACATCTTTAACAACATGACGACACACTAAATCCTATCTCAAATGATCCAAACATCTGGACTTGGAGGAAGGAGGTAACGTTGGCCACCACTGCACTGCAGGCACAGCTTTGTGCTGCAGGTGGAGCTGCCTTCAGGGACGCCTGCACGTGAGAGAAGGGGCAAAGCGATGGCTGACATTTGCTAACTGCTGCTTCTCCTTCATTTGAAATAAAATCGCTGGATAACTTTCAGCAAGTCACTTAAATCCCAGTGTTTCAGTTCCATGGCGATGTATCCAAGGGCACCAAGGCACTTTCCAAAATATCATTAAAAAAATGCAAGAAGCAGAGATATGCATCAAAAGCATGAAATAAAACGACTTACGGGTTTGCACGCTTCACAAGCACTATAAAAATGGGAGTCATTCACTGAATACTATTTATCCTTGGCATTGATTATTTAGGAAATAATGGTATGCAACTGTATAACCTTACAGGAGAGCACATACTCATGTATGCCAAACAGCCATAACTCTTACTGCTGCTCTGTTTTCCTCTCCATGCGCTGCACTTTGCCATTCTTGCACATAATTGGTTGTAGCGTTGGATTACTTTTACAGGAATAAACAATTTCCCTTTTCATTTTAAATGGATTAAATTCTTTTTAAATGGATAAAAGTGTACCAATAGGTTTCATAGCTGCTATTAGAAAATCCCCTAATCTAGTTTTAAGATGATTCTTTGTCAATCTACAGCACTTTCATGTTTTTATATTGCAGAGCTACAGTTTACTTCATTTTTTCCTGTTAAGGGAGAGCACCTTCCATAGCACTGTAAGGCTAACAAAGACATGGATAAAGAACTGAGAGTCTCTCAGAAATATTTCAACCTGTGCCCCTGTGCAAAGCAAAAATGAAACTGTGAGTATTTTGATACAGAAACGTACAGGGGAAAAGTTAATTATTAGAAAGAACTAAACGTGCATGAGGGAGCACGATGGCTTCCAAGACATAAAGGAATGACTAACATTCCATTATGTAAATTAATTCAAAGATATTTCAGGACTGATCAGCTAGGAGGGACATAATGATTTATAATTCAAATAACTGAGCTTTGAAATCAAATTGGGCTAATATATTTCAAAATATGCAAACCTGTAATAATTGTGAAAGTAATGCAAACCATGACACCAGCTCAAATCATTTGTTGCCTTTGCTGTTAATAATGCTTTATGTTTTTCCTTAGTTGTTAAATTTTCCTATTGTACAACAGAGTTACAGGAATAACGTTGTGCTTTTAATCACAGACAATCATTCAAAAATAAAAAGAAAAAAGAAGGAAAAAAGGACAGTTAAAAACACCAAGAAAAACCCAAATGCTAAATAACCCAATTTCAAAGGCTGTCAAGAAGCTGATTGACTTACAGGACAAGTATTGAAATTAAATAAATTATTATTTTAACCTTTCAGGCTAGCCACAGTTTAATCCATACCAAATACCGAAAATTGATCCACTGGATCCAGCATCTGAACAATATCCTGCTTCTTTCACAGCAATACATACCCAGTGCCGTTTAAAAAAACTAATGTAATGTGAAAAGGCCAAAGTTTGCAATGCCAGGAAGTAGTTATAAACTACTTCATATGTTCGAAATAAAAAGTACTTCAGTATTATTATTAAAAAAAAAAAACTATTGGTAGAGTTTTTTATAGGAAAAAAATACATATCTTTAAAAGCCAAAATGACCAGTGAAATTGGGTTGTACATCATTTTCTGGGAAAAAAGAAAAACAGCGTCGACAGGTGTAATTTATCATTTTTCTGATTTAATACCAAAGAAATATATTAAAATAATAAAAAGAATCCTGAAATCCTCAAAATTTGTAGTGATAAATAGCCCTCCCTGTCTTTATTGCATTATGCCTACTAACAGAAATATTGCATGGTGGATTTTGCCAGACAAGGACGATTATTTTCCAATAAAAAGTTGCATATTAAATTCCAGCACAAAAGTGGGTGTCTAATACTTTCGAAATCTTTTATGGTTTGCCAGGGAACACAATTTTAAACTTAACTAATACAACATCACGCTGAAGCGAACCGGCATTAAAGCTGTCTTTGTACAACCCAGCTAAGCAGAATAGCTGCTGCTCTCGGAACTCCTGCTACAAGTATTTCCACTGAAAAATAACTGTATCTGCTTTTGGCATTTGCATTTTGGTTAATTTCTATTTTCCTCGTCCTTAAATGTTTCCAGTGAGGCTTAAGATGCGTATTTATGGAGGCAGCGCTGCTTTACATGGTGACGATGCACTGGGGACCGAGCATCTGAAAATGGTCTTGCAAGAGTTAGGAAGTTTCTGCCAAGAAAAATACAATTTCATCACAATTTTATTCTTCAGGAGAGCTTGGGTTATTAAATATCTACTTTTTCATCCTTTCCAGGTCCTGACATTATTATGTCTATTTCATGAGCAGAAACTCATTTACTGCAAATATAATTTGAGTAATTTGAAAACTAAAACTATCCCGACATTTCAGCCTTGGAAAAAGTATCATTTTCATCACTGACCCCCCATCCTTGAGAGCTTGCATGTGAATAAATGCCTCCAAAAGCCTCCATAACTCAGTATGAAACATTAAATGCTTATTGGCTTTAAGAGAAATACGAGGCTGATTATTTCAGCAAGTATACATATAGGCACAAATCCGCAGACACCGTAAGTTAGATGCACCATGTTAAAATTTTTGGTTACTTTTATGTTTTGAACCCTACTGAAGCAATAAGCGTATCCTATAAAAGAGGAGGGAGCTCATCAGTCTCTTCATAAATCTTATTAATTAAATCAATGTCTCCTCTTCTGTTTTTGTGACATTTTTTAGTAACGTTTCACTTTCAATTCCTTCTCAGTCCTAATTCTGAGAACCCAGAGGCATGCATAGCCACAACATCCTCAGCTGACTGTTCAATGGTATGTCAAAGAAACAGAAAAGTAAACATCGCGTGATTTTTCTCTAAGCAAAATTAACTTATGGAATGTCATCCTTCTACCGACAAAAACATATTAGAATTCTTCTTATATGATTAGAGTTCTGTAGAGAAATAAAATTATTTTGGTTGTCATATTCTACTTGCCTTCCCCTTTGCTTGCCTACCAATCTTCTCTAGAAAATTACTAAAAAGCTGTTTTTATTTTAAAATAGCAGAGGATTTCCCAGTGGAATGCTTTTATGAGCTCTGATCGTTTATTCCCTGCTGCATACCTTTAAATATTTTGTCACAGCAAAAATAATCATCTTTTATTTTTAATCTTCTTCTCAATCCACCGAAAATTCAAAGAATAATAATTCTTCTCCAACTTACAGTACACAAGGGAATATTAGAACAAGACAGAAAGGGTTTGCAATAGGTAGCCAACAGTAGCTAACAGCTCATAGATAGTTAACAGTAATCAGTGGGGAAAACTTTCACAAACACATCAGAACCCAGACCAAAAAATCCCACACCACTGTTATGATTTTTCCAGTAGAATGACACGGACACAGTGAGGAACTTCGAATCAGGCAAAGATCAGAAGAGCACTGTGCTTCTTACCTTTGTTCACACATCCTCAAAGCAGAACCAGTCCTGTTCCCAACTGCTTACAGAATCAACCCCGCTCTCCATACAGCTGAACTCATCAATGGCATTAACATTAGGATGAGGAATGGGATAGATGGCCATAAGCAACTAGTTGTATTTTTTTTGTTGTTTTGTGGTAAGTAGGTGAAAATAAGCATGCCTTTTAAAAAAACAGTAACTCTACATATGAAAAGATAAACCAAAGCAAAAAAACATTAATATCCTGGATTGTTTTAAAATGAGGCATATGAAACAACAATCTCCTTAATTTTTTACCTTATTATATGCAAATAAAGTCATACACCAAAAAAGGATATTCAACAGAAAGGTCATTTAGAAACTGGAGAGTTCTTGAAATCACAGGCTCACATCTTCCTCAGCGTTTAAGGTTTGTAACACTAGAACAAATTGAAAAAAAAGTGATTTTATAACATGATTTCCTCCTTCTGAAAATTGCCATGCAAAAGCTCAGACTAGAACAGCGCTGTATTACAAATATATTCCTGTTGTATGTCTTACAATTGTCCATTCAGGAGACAGAAAATGCTATAAAAGCATGCCAAGTGTTTTTCGTTCGTTTGTTTTTCTGAATAAGGTGTTCTACTATTTTTGTAATACCCATATTTAAAATACTCCTATTAAAAAATAAACCTATCATATGCCTCTGTCATGTGGCATAATGAAAAAAATGAAGTGAAGCTTCCCTTACCTGCATTTCTCTCACTTTTCAACACAAAATCCAGACAGTTGACTTCAGCAGTATTCCTCTGCCTAGCTCTCCACGACCTAAAAACCAATTGCTCTGATTTCCCCTCGACATGTGAGAAACCGAGCATGGAGAAAAACCAGAGGGCCAGATGCACTGAGGCACCAGCGCACCCCGCTGCGGTGGAATTCTGCCTTACGGTTTGTGTACGAACCCTGCTCTCCTTTGTTAACTAACACTCAAGATGTACGGTGGATGCTGCAGTTCTCCTAACCGAATCCCTGAGACATTGGCCTGTGAAGAGAAGGAATGCCATTTTTCTCAGGTGAGGAGTGGTTACACCAGCAAGTGAGGAGCTGCCATGCGGGCCCTGCCGAGGATCTAACTGGTCCAAGGTCTGATTCAGTGCTTCTGTTGTAAAACCCAGCTATCAGGCCCCAGGAAAGATGAACCCCAAATGCACAGATGACAATTTCACACTGACTAGCAGTAAATTTTCCAGTACTTCTTTGGGAATCCCTGCCCAGCTGCCTAGCCTACAACAGCTAGCTTGCTCCTTGCTCCCCTCTTTAAAGGCAACTCCTGTGCCCTCCTCCTGTGGGACATCCAGCACTTCCTTTAATTTACCAAAAAGCCAGAAGAAAGTTGAAAACCACCCTTCCTTCTGACGGAGAGATGATGTGTAAGAGACTGACAGTGGAGTGTGCTGATCCTGGATTGACAAGAAGGGACAAGGACGGCCATCACAGCCTCCTGATGCATAGCCCATAGGGGTACAAAGCAGCATTCCTTGGCTCACAAGCTGTGACACCTATTCCTGACCAAGGAAACAAGTTCCTAAGGCGTACCTCAACAGGCAGGTGATGCAAAGTCAGTTAGTTCACGTTTGTATCCCCCAGTTTCCTTGTCTGCAGAACACGCACAATGACTGTGACCTGAACCTGTCACATCTAGAGATGAAGGCTGATGACAAAAGAGGTGCAATCAGCACCAGCCACACAGATGACGAGGCAGCAGCTGGATGTAAAACTGGGAATGAAGAACCTGAATAAGAGAGGTTGAGTGCTTTAAAATCAGCATTGATTTTTGCCATCTTTTAGATGTTTACAGGCTAAATCTCTTTTTCAGGAAGTTATAAACTCAGAAACTCAGTAAAAGGCAAATAACAGTGCAATTACCAAAGCAGTATTCCTCAATTAATATTTACAAACAAACATCGATTTACTTAATACAATCCCTATGAAGAACTACAAAGGCTCAGGTTACCTTGAAGAAAATGCCCATTCTAGCAAGTTCATAATTCACACTCTATCCCTTCTATGGAGTCCTGGAGATGTTTATAGCTGCACTAAATTCTTAACAAGCATATACCATGCAGTGCAATAAAAATGCATTTGGACTATCCAGATTTGACATCAATACCAAAATAATAAAATGGCTGTTTTGCAAAAGAGCAGAATCTTTGTCTTTCAGCAGCCAAACATAAGACATTTCAAGAAAACCAAGTCATCACAGGAAGAGCGGAAGAGAAAATTAAAACTATATGAAGAAGTCTCTCTCCAGTGTTTCAGGGCACTCTTAAAAAATACCTTCTCATGGTTGTACACTCATGGTTATATTTGGATGCTGAAGGATGGAGTAATAATATAAATTAAAAGAAGCACTCGTGAGTGAACAGTAGCTGAAACAGTTTGATTATCATCTCAGCACTTCCCTTTTCTGTGCTTGCCTTATCAATATCAGGCAATATGAAAAGCATATAGAATCTAATAGTTAAGAAACAGCTACGAAACACTATAAGGATTCGGGAATATCTGTTAAGATCCATATAGGAATCCCTAAATACAAAAAGCTGAATACTTCCACGTAAGGAAGAGATGCCAAGGAAAGAAGGAGGAGAAAAATTTACAGCTCTCAGAGAAATCTGTGCGAGCCAGCAGTTAAACACAAGTGCTGGGGCCCTCATCTCTTTCTCTCTCAAGCAGCTAATTAATCTAACACATAAATGAACAAAACTGAGTCAGAGCAACCAACTGCAACATTTCAAATGAGCCTCACAGAAGAAGAGCTTCAACAAAAGTAACATCGATGCCAATAACAAAAATGGCTATGGTAATGGGCACTGAGCACATCTGAAAGGCAACTACAAGAGAACTGGAAACTAAAAATGGCGGACTATTTCCAATTTTGGTAACAAAATCCTGGTATCAAAATACTGAATCACACTTATGAAAGTGGAAGAGTGACAGTGAGCCAAGCTGTAAAACTATGAGAATTTAAGAAGATTTAAAATGGAACACCATTAGGAATCCAGAATATTTTCAGCTATTTCCTTCCTTTCCTAGGTTGTCCTTCCTACGGGGACAAGAACAGAAGCCTGGCTTCTATAAGCTATACCAAAGGAGGTAAAGCCTGCCAGCCTCCACCCCTCAGAACCCCACAGTTTTCTCTGAGACTTCCCCTGTGACCACAGCTGGTTACTAAATGCAGTTTCATCAGCACACCAATAACCTCTGCCCTTATGTCTCAAAAATGTAGTTTTTAAAAGACTTAATATTTGTTACCCGCAGTGTAGAAAGGGAAAGTGAATACTGATAACATATTCTAATTTACAGCTCTCTGGGAAAAGGGTTCTTTGCATTTTCCCAGTCGTTATGACAAATATAGCCATTTCTGGATATGCATTTTGTGACTTTTTTTTTCCCCAACTCATTTTACAGCCCTTAATTTCCTATCCCACCCTCAACTGCATGATTTGGAGAAACATCTCTTCAGACACAAGGTCTGTATCACACTCATGCAAAAAGCAATCACAGTGCACACCGAAGGACAGTCCTTCATAAAAGATGTAGTAGTTCTTCAGGCAGTTGTGGATTGGAAATGATTCCGTTAGATCAAAGAAGTGGAATGTCCAACTTAGAAAAAAAGAACTGAAAAATACGCAAAGTAACTTAAAAAAAAATAAAGTTTGAATGGAAAGTGGGAAAGCATAAAGTCAGCACAGAATAGGAAGCACTGAAGAGTGATTACATAGTGTACAAAGCAGGGAAATTCATTTGGTCATATGGATAGTGGGTACCTTTTCCATTTATCACTGTATGCCAAGGTGCTCAAATATTGCTTACAGACCATTTGCAAATGCCCAAAGAATTCATTCATCCTCTTTCCAGGAAGCCTTGAACCCCTTTGCTGAAATGTAATGGTCAAGCACGTTACCACAATACATCTGAGGAATGCCAGAACACCACAGCTAGTGCACATGCGTAGATCACTGCACCTCACATACACAGCAGGTTGGACTGAGTTGCAAAAGATACATTGCAACCCAGCCAGATGAGATAACTGCTGTAAATCAGCAAGTTTGGGGTTTATTTTTTAAAACAATTAGAGCACAGAGACTGAAAACACGAGCTTATGGAAAGATGGAATGAAATGGTAAGCCTGAACTGTGCACATTCAGAAATAATCTTAGTCTCAAGGATAATACAGATATACTTCTATACTTTTTGTAAGTAACAATAAAAGCTCTCTGTGGCTCAGTGGCAGTGATTGGATATATTCTTTTCATTAGAGCTGGACAAAGGCAAATATTTAAAAAAAAATGCACATACTGCTGTGAATAAGAGTGCCAAGATTTAGTTTGCTGTGATTCATGGAACATTCAGGAAAATGTAAATTGAGACCTTTTGTACCTAACCAGTATTTAAACACCACGACACGGAAGAATCTATTCACATGTATGCATACGTGCATCCTCCACAGCAAAATTATTACAGCAGTTACTTTAAAGGAAATGATACCATCCAACAGCAGGGCTGGGATATGCATTCTGAAGGAATTCATGTTTTGGTTATTTAATCACACCCAACATATCAAACATCAGTGTGAACATTCGTTTTGAGTTACTTCCACATGTGTTTGGTGTAATTGAAAGGAACAGTAAGAGTCTACCAAAGAATTAGTGATGAAAAGGAAGGGTGCCTGCCACAAGGGGAAGATGGAACTAAAACTCTCACAGTCTAAATACTTCCCCGCCTCTTACCTACACAAGGAAGCATCAAGGCAGGCAAAGAGTTACTGCTCAAAAGCAGTCACAATTAATTGTGAAGGAAATGACTGCTCTCACTTCTGTGTACAGTGTGTCACCCCTTGCCTCAAGAGTACCAGCCTTGATCCACTTCCAGCAGCCCAAGAGGCACAAGAAAACGAGACGTGCCTTTTTTGGGAGGAAGTGGGAGTAGCAAGGATAGAGAAATCAATACAGATGAAGAACAGCCTGTGGCTGAGAAAACAAGTATCCTCAGGCAACGGAGTAAGCAGGAGAAAGCTTAAGGACACAGACTGGGAGCTTTAGTCATGGTGACCTCCAGATCTCATTGCCCCCGCAGTCCTACTAATACCCTCAAAAGCCCACTGCTCCCCCTTGCCCATCTTCACCTTCACCCTCACCCAACTCCTCCCAACTTAACCCTCCTTCAACCTGCTCTACAGTTGCTACAAAACCGAGCTTTGCTGAACGTGCTTGAGAAGGAGTAAGATGCCCTGAGTATTAAAAAATCGTTCTGATGGCAGTATTTTTCCAGTTGGCCTTTCTCCTGCCACGCACAACCTTTTACAATGATTGTTAAAGCTAGCAAAATGCAACCTTTAAACCATAAATTGAGCACTGGTTTCTGCAGGTACTAGCTGCTACAAGAAATAGCACCTTTAGTTGTTTTCTCTTACTGACTGAACTAACTGACTTGATGAGGTTTCAAGAGAATGTTTTATTAAGAGCATATTTTAAGAGAAAGAGATGAACGGTCTCACATTTATGTATCCTGCCCACTGCTCTTTGAATGTACTAACAAATCATCTAAAATACCATACTAGATTGGCCCATGAGACCCTACTCGTGTGGTTATGTACGGTACGTTTTGGTTTCACACCCAGATTTTCCCATCAACATGCTACCACTGGGGAGAAGCTAATTTATTTTAATTAGCACAAACATGAGTTTGTTTGGACAGCAGCTTCACAACCAGCTCTTGAAGATAAAACCATCCAATTCAAGCTGGAGCATCCACTCTGTAAATGAAAAAGACCTTCACACTAGTCAATGAACAATTCCTTAACTGCATGCTTTGTGAAAAATACAGTAAGCCACAGAGTAAGAGAAAATAACACTGTGTGTAATCTATAAACAGCACTGGTTTTTGCCTTTTGTTTATCTTGTTTTCTTTTGAAATCTTCCACATAACATTAAAACCCTAACTATCTTATTTCCTGGATTTACAATGCTTCTGTAAAAGCAGCCACATCGAAGCTACACACATGTATTGTTTATCAGACTTGTTAAATGATATTCTGTTATTTCCTCAGCTAGCAAATCTAACGCAGAGTTCCTTGCAATGGCATCAAGAAGAAGAAAAAAGAAGCAAACCGGTGCATCTCATCTCCATAGGAGAGCCCTCCTTCCCCCTTTTCTCTCATGAGTTTAAGTTTCACCTTACCTTGAAACAACAAAAAGAAGCCTGGCTGTGTAATTCCATGACACGAAAAGTGCACACAGAAAGTATCAATATTTCTCCATTCATCACTGGATAAGCACCAAGGTCTGATGGGTACTGTTGTTACCACATGGCAGGATGCAAAACTCAGTTCTGATTTAGAGCAAGCAAAACATTTATGCTTTGTTTTCTGTGGAAAAGTCACATTAGAAAAATGATCCTGTCCCAGCTGTGACTGGTTCTGAAGGTTGATGGCTGCGGTAGCAAAAGACAAGTCATTTCCAATGCTGTCCAAACAGGTCATGGTTAGCCTGGGAACAGCAACAGAGACCCTTCCTCAAAACATCCAAGTCTACTGAAAGTTTTTAACAGCCATACAGACCAGCTTTAGAAGACACTAAGTTAATACCAGGATGCAACATGTTCCTCACTACAGAACAGAGCTGAGGTACTTCTTCATTTTTCCAGGCACGCACAGAACTCACTGTCTCCTAAAGTCTCAGATTTTTGTGGATATTCATCCCTGTTTGCAGAGACCATTTTGTTTTGTTTCAAGAGAAAAAAATGATTTAATTAAACTCTCTTTGAGTCAAGAGGAACTATCAGTAAGGACCTCAGGAAGTAAAGACAAAAATCCTGGTGGTTTTGCTAGGATCCATGGAAGGGGACAGTAGTAGCTGCATGAGACAGAGGGTAATTTTCTAGGATTGCTTCTAAGAAAAGGCATTGCAGCACTTGTCAGCACAAATAACACATCATCTTAATCTGCCAAATGCCAGAGATGAGAATGGCTGACAATGATACTCCTTGTTTCCTTCAGTATGAGTCCTTAAAATTGTTCTCTGAGGATTCATACTTCTGAGTGTACATTTTGCCAGATATTATGCCTCCCCAGCACAAAGAAAGATTTGTTTAACTTGGTGAACAATCTATTCTGAGTTATTTGAAGCTTTACAAGTAATTCTATCAGCATCTGAGGGTGCAAGCATGGAACAGGGGAAGGGTGGGATATGCTTATGCTAGAACTGTCACTGAACAGGAGTCTACGAAATCTCAGCTTTCTCACATTAAGCCATTTCTAGAATGCCTGATGTAGGCATTCAGGAGAGCATATTTATATGAAAGTGTTTATGTAGAGACTTGAAGAACTTTCAGACAGTAGGTTATGGGTGTTTTTAATATTATCCTTTAAATACTTAAAATTTACAGAAGACATTTTTCTTGCAAAGGCAAGACTTAATGGAGTAAAATAAAACATGGATTTTACGTAAGACAAAACAAAATACATACAGAATAGAACCCAAGCACAAACTCACATTTTTGTCATAACTGTTTCCAGAACATGGCTGTCATCTGTTATTCCTCAGACTTCTGACATGCGGGAATACACCTAGGAATAAACATTTACACAGAAACATGGTATAGATGTTATAGATGTTACACGTTACAGATGTTTGTAAACGTTTATTCTATATTCTTTCCCAATTTTGACGTTTCAGGAGAAAAGTAGAGGCACAAATGCTGCCAATCCAACCTAAGTAAAGCACTTCTGTGAGATGAAGTGCACACTCCATAACGATGCTTTGTGAATTTGGAGCTGACAGGCTTTTACTTGCCCTTGTATTCATCTCTTCCCACAAAGGAGATGTAAATTTTCCAAATTAAACTCACTTTATGGTTCACAGAACAAATCAGTCTCTTTCAAAAGAGGGTTTCACTACAAGAGCTGCAAAGAGACGGAGAAATATTGCCTTTTTGGTCACTGGGCTGCAGTTCAGCATTGGCCTTCATCTTCTATCTTCATAGTTGCACTGTCAGTCACAAAATCAGGAACTCAGGTACTGTTTGGGCATCCAGCTTTGTGCTCTCCTCCTTTGGCAGCCAAATAACTTCAGTTGTATAATCTTTCCCTTTCCATCAGATCCAAGTCACGTTACCAGCCAAGCTTTCCCAGCACCCCACCTACTAGGTCAAGTTATCTTACTGCTGTTACAATGCTTTAACAAATAGAAAGGGCAAACCAACTGCATTTTTTAGTTACTGTGTAGTCTTCGTAAAAATTTCTAGTAGTTTTGTAGCCAAAAATCTAGTTTGGATAAAAACATTTATCTGGATCAACTTGTTAAAGAAGGGAGAGGTACTCCATAACTGCCTCACAGCGTCCTGTAACTCGCTTTAGCCTGAGCACAAGTAGCTCTGCTATTTGCTTACAGCTAGGCATTTCATTTCAGGCATTTTAATCTTTAGCGAAACTAAACCAAGCATGATTGGTTACACGTAATTCTTCCATATTACGTGATCAAGTCAAGGATCACCAAGGTCTGAAATGCACCAACCCCAGCAGATGCAGTGGCAGGTTACCCAGCAGTGAAAGCCTGGTGCCATCTAGCTGTCAGTTCTGTTTGCTGACATTATATATTCCACTCTAACTTGGCCAACTCCTGTTCCCGTATTTCAATTTCCTCATCCTGTGTTCCTTTCTGCTAGTGAAGCAAACCCACGACTTTTATGAAGAACCAAAGCAGCACAATTTTACCGCTAGGGAAGTTGATAAAAAATTTGTGCACCAAAAACTTCAGCTTAAATCAGAGCATAATAAAAGCACGAGCAAATAAATCTGCTGCTGTAGCCAGAAAGTGGAGCAAGATCAAGGATAATTTACTTATCTTGTAAGTTAAAATATCACCTTTCATAATGGTATGAATGTAATTTGTTGTGACGAATTGAAGCACAAAAGAAAACAAGGAATATAAAAAAACAGGGAATATGCTGACTTTCAAACTCTACAAAATATCATATTCACGTCGTAAAAGTGAAGCTGTAGTTTAGAGCAAAACATAGCTGCAATAATAACACGTGCAATGATAAAAATCCTATATTCTGATGCATAAAAGCATCTCTCTCAACATAGCGCGCTGTTGAAACGCTCCAGCACTCTCAGTTTGAGCTAAACCTAAGTCTGCGTTTTAAGTGTGAGCTCAACCTAAGTGTGCTTGTTAGCTGGAGAGGAAATCGGTCCAAGAAGGGAGGCAGGGTGGGCGCAGGGGGGCGGGCAGCGCTGCGCCGCCTCTGCCCCGCTGTCATCCGGCGGTGCCACATCACGGTTTAACACACAAATAGCAAACCAGCAGCCCGCGCTGACAAAGAGCAGTGCTTTAATCCACAATTATCCTTGTAACTCTTACTACTCCTTTTATCATCCATTAGCTTTGATTCCCATTATCCCATCAAGAAGTGTGTCAACGCTTTTGTCCCTGGGGATTTCCTCCACCGCCAGGATCTGACAGCCAAGCCCGAGTGCTAAGCAGGATCATTACCTCTTAAATCCACTTATCTGATCCACTGAATAGTAAATTGAAAAGCTCATTAACAGCAACAATCTGATTTGTTTTCACATGTGACAGGGTCATTTCAAGTCAGCATGAATACAGTGCTTGTAATAAAAGCTACTCCTCGCCCGGTAATGTGACAAATCGTAAGCTAAAATAAATGTGATATTTTAAACACATTCTTCAAGATCATTTTCAAACCGAAACACACTCTTAGGATGTAAAAATAGAAGAGCAAACAACCCCCAGCCGCAGCACTGAAACGCCCTCAGACTTTTAAGCGCTATAAAAAATTAATGATAAAGCATTTTGGACGTATAATAATAAAATACTCTTCAGCAACAAAGGCTGCGCTACGTATTCAAAAGGAGAAAAACACTGTTGAAAGGGGGGTCATAAAAGGATGTGAATTGCATGTGGAAGTGATCTCATCTCAAGCTCGTCTGCATCACGACGAGATGCCCAGCCATCCCCGTGCAGCAAGGAGAGCAGGGCTCGTGGCTGGAAGCCCCTCTGGAGACCCCGAGCAAGGAGCAGGATCATTAACTCGCAGTAGGAAACAACCAGGTGAATCCTTTACACAATTATTCCCCAGTCCTCCCAGCTGTGGGATTTGCCAACGTTATGCAGTCGTGCTGTGATGCTGCCACATAACGTAAGCCTCTTAATAACGACATATCAGATCACTATTATCATCTCATTTTACATCAGTTACGAATGAATGTGAAAAATCCACAGGAGTGCTAACGTTAGGCTACAATGTTAGATGAGCTTCACAGGTACAAGTTCATAATGAAGGTCCTGAAAGCAGGGGCAGGCTCATACCACCACTTCAACTAGTGACAGAGTACAGGTCGCAATACTCACAGGTGACTGCAGTCATCATGACACCCAATAAAAAGAAGAAATCAGAAAAATACCATTAATAATAACAATTTCAAACATATCAATGAATCACAGGCACATCAAGGTTGGAAAAGACCTTTAAGGTCAACAAGTCCAGCCATCAACCTGACCTACCAAGTCCCACCACTTTACCACGTTGCCCAGTACCACGCTCACGTCTCTGCCACACCTGGGATGGGGACTCCAACTCCTTGGGCAGCCTGTTTCAATGCCTGACGTCTCTTTCTGCAATAAATTCTTCCCCATGTCCAATCTGGACCTCCCCTGGTGCGACTCAAGGTTGTTTTAGCCAGGTGATAGGACATGGGGAAGAGACAAACTCCTCCACTGTGCAACCTCTATCAGGTAGCTCCATGAGGTCTGCCCTCAGACTCCTCCAGACTGAGCAGCTTAACCCTTCAGCTGCTCCTGTTAACTCTTGCTTTCCAGCCCCTTCATAGTTTTGCTGCTCTTTGCAGCACACACTCCAGCAACTCCAATAGCTTTCCTGCTGTGAAGGGCCCCAAATTGGCCACAATACTTCCAGTGTGGCATACCAGGGGACTGGCTCAGGCTGTGTGTGCCATCCCTAGAGGTGCCCAAGACCAGGCTGCCATCCATTTGGCACCTCGCAGCCCCATGCAGTGGGTGGCACCCAGTCCACGTCAGGGGATTGAGAGCAGGTGAGCTTTATGGTCTCAACCCAAGCCATTCTACGACTCTTTCTATGAAAGTAACTTCCCTGGTCCTCCAGGCAGTAGAAATGTTCAGCCAACAGACCCAGGGACCCTTCTTTTTGGCCCCATTCCTACAGGTAAAGCCACTGTGTGCAATAAGGGTGCAGGAGAAGGCAGCTCTGGTGCTGCTCCATCTTTTACCACCCGGCAGCCTTACGGGTTATTCAAATGACAAAACTCTGCACTTCCAAACTACTCGAGATCCAGTTGCTACATTTCAAAAAGAAAGAAGGAACACACTTGTGGAAGCCGTGTTTTATAAAGCAAAGCACCTGCATGTAAATGCAACCTAAAGAAACTGAGAAAAAAATGTAATTGCGCTGAAGCTTTATTTCCCTGACTCCTCTGCTCTTTGGCCCTAGATAAGTTTAACTTTGCTTTGTCTTTTGAGGTCTTCTCTTTTTGCTGCTATCATTATAACTCTGAAGAAGCTAATTATGTCAATTCTTAAATGTGAAGCAGATTACAGAACTGGGAAGCTCAGAATATGAGTTCCTAAAGGTTGTATGGCTATATAATGACAGTCACAGAAATTCAATAACGGCACTGTATGGAATGCACTCAAACACACCCCATGAAACAAATTAAAACAGAGCAATGAATCTCTCATACTGTGCAAATAAGAAAACACAAGAAAATGTTGGTTTCTATACGTTTCATAAGGGCTATTATAATGAATTAAGATTTTGGATAATGAATCTTCAGAAAATTACAGGAAAGTTATTACCCGTAGGCAGAACATAAATGCTTAAGATATTATAACTTCCTTGAAGCTCTCCAGGCCTTGCTGCAGAGAACTATCACTGCGACATTAAAGTATTTTGTCATGTATACTGAGGGAAGCAGATCTTAACTGCATTTACTCTGAACTGACAGAAGCTGTGCTGCCTCTGAGCCCCAAGCAGCTGTACTGGGAGCCTCCCTGCCCACAGCCTTCCCCTGCCCACAGCCTTCCCCTGCCCACAGCCTTCCCCTGCCCACAGCCTTCCCCTGCCCAGCAGCTGCTCTGTGCTTGGGCTGCTGGCCCACCTCCCTGCCCAGCACCTCTGTCTGTAACCTCTGAACTCCACACTAATCAACATCTGCCTCCCGGGCATAATTGTCACTGATTTCTAAATAAATATCAGGTATTTTAAGCTGCAGCGCTCAGCTGCTCCGCTACATGCAGTGCAGTACTTTGATGCCAAAGCCCAATTCACAAAAAACTGAACCCATTTCCCTGATTTGCAGACCAGGGTGTCAGATCAATCACTTACACCTCCCTGACAAACTTAGGGCTTAAAAAGCCTCACCACAACCAGGGAGGAAACAGAGGAAACCCTGGTCTCCCCTAAGACTTCCATTTCTGACCAGCTGTCTTTAAAGGTAAGATCTCAAAACACTTGTAACTCTGAGTCTAATCTGTTGTTATACAATTAGCTCCCATAAAAAACAAACAC